GTGGGGGTGGGGGGTGGAGGGCGTACCCTGCAAGTCTGTTTCTTCTCTGGCTGCTCACTCTGGGTGTCACCTTCTCTGTGCCCCCCATTCCCCGTCTGTCTGGTGTCCTCTCTGCCTCCCCCACCCTCTGCTCGCGTCGCTGGTGTCACCCTCTCCACGCAGGAGTCTTGTCTGTAACTCCCATCAAGTCCGCTAGGAGGGGGCCGGGATCTAACATCTCCTCCTTTGCCTTCTCTTGACCACCCACCCCCGTGGACCACCCACGTTTAAGGAGATGTTTCCTAACCTTTAGAGTGCTCCTAACCCTCCCCCACTTGTTAAAATGCAGATTCCGGGGCCCCCCTAGCGATCTGACTCAGCAGGTCTGAGGGGCTCAGGAATCTGCAGTTCGCAGCTTCCCACCTAGGTCTGATGTAAAAGGCCCCCCACTTCTAGAAACAAGGTGCAGGGAACTGGTGGGCTGGAAAGATGGGGCACACTTCCTTCCACAGCCTGCCCCCCACTCCCCATCCTTCCTCCATGCTCGTGACCTTCCCTGGGCTCAGGGTGGCCAACTCCGCCCCCAGTGTGACAGCACCAGGCATGGAGGAGTTGCCAGGACGGAAGGAGAGAGGGAAAGAGTTTGGGTCCAGCTCTTGTCCCCCTGAGCAGGGTCTTTTGCCCCCCTCCGCCTGCTGCCCGCTTCCCTCCCCTCGGCCTTTGCCTCTCCACCTTCCTCTCGCTCCATGGGCCTTGCCTCGCTTCGCTTCCCTTCCCTTCCTCTCCCTTTCCCAGAGTTTCTAGGAAGGCCAGAGGATCCTGGGGTGGGCAGTTTGGATCTTAGCAGGGAATGGCAGAGCCAACCAAAGTCCTGACCTCCAAAAGAAAGAGGTGGAGGCCCCCTGGGGCTGGGGAAAAACAGGAGGGAGGCAGGAGGGAAAGATAGCAGCAAACATGTAGGTCACCTTTCCATGGGCTGTGCACTAACTTACTTAACACAGCAGCTCACTTCAGACAGGCACTGTTACCCCCAGGTTACACATTTAAAAAACAAGAAAACAAGGGATGTCCAGAGAGGTTAAGTAACTCACCCAAGGTCACACAGTAAGCGGGAGAATAGCTAGGTTATTCACCCTTTCCCTTCCCCAGACTCATTTCTCCAGAGGCCACTGGGTAGCTGTCCCAGGCCTGCCTTCCCTGCGCCTCCCCCAGGGGCAATGGATTGGGAAGGGCATCATGTCCAGGGAGGAAAGGAGAGGCTCAGGTTTCGGAACATCTGACAGGTCTGGCTGGAAGCATTAAAAATTCATGTAGAAACCTGACCCCAGCTGGACCTTGGGCCTGCCACCTGGACTGTCCCTGGCCTTGTGGCCTCTCAGAGCCTGGTGGGCGAATTTTCCTTCAGCAGTGTCTGGGGAGTCCCAAGTCTTTGTATGCCATAGGAGAGGGGCTCCGTCATGGATTAGGGAGCTAAAGTCAGGAGCCAGCAGCTCAGAAAGCAGCGCTGAGAGCCCTCCTCCCACTCCTAGTGTAAGAACCTTAGAGGCTTAAGGGCTTATAAACCTTGTCATCTGGCGTCCTTCTACTCATGTCTGCAGATACATAGATGCTCACTCTCAGTTTAGGATGGCAAGCCTGGCTGTGACTCCCAAGGTGGCCAGTGGGAGGCAGCCATCTGCTGGAGGCAGCCTGAGCCTGAGCCTGAGCCTGAGCCTGAGCCTGAGCCTGAGCCTGAGCCTGAGCCTGTACCTGCAGCTTTGAAGGACAGTGAAGAAATCCCTATAGATAAGGTTAGACAGATGCAGGCTTGGCCTTGAGAAGGGCTCTGGAGTCTGTCATCTGAGGACAGTGGGAGAGGGTTCCTAGTTTGGGGGAGATTCAGAAACTTTAGGGAGAGTTCAAGGTAAGTTGTAGGTTTCAAGTGCATCATAACTGCTGGCCAGCATGATACAACCATTCTAGCTGAGTGGAGGTTTGGGACTTGACAATGAGAGACAAAAATAGAAAGGCCATTGGTACCAGACTCTGAAGGATGGTTGATACTTTGCTAAGGTGTTTTACCAATAGGGAGCCACTGTAGGTTCCTGAGTGACATAGTGACATAATGCAAATATTGGCGAGCCTGAATCTGGCCACCATGGGCAGGCTGGGTGGGAGGGAGAGAGACTGAGTGTAGGAAAACTGGAGAGGAGGTTAGTGCTATTT